GTGAGGCAACCCCGGCTTTGAAAATCCAAAGTACCCCAACCATGTTTTTAAACTCCACAAAGCCTTGTATGGTTTGAAACAAGCCCCCGAGAGCTTTGGTATGAGCGTTTGAAAGCTTTCTTGCTTGATAAGGGTTTTAGGATGGGTTCAGAGATAAGACTTTGTTCCTCCTCAAGCAAGGCACAGACATCCTTTTGGTTCAGATATACGTGGATGATATAATCTTTGGTGGCTCTTCTCATGCTCTTGTTGCCAAGTTTTCAGATACTATGAGCAAGGAATTTGAGATGAGCATGATGGGCGAATTGACTTTCTTCCTTGGGCTGCAAATCAAGCAAACTCGTGAGGGGACGTTCGTGCACCAAGGCAAGTACACCAAGGACGTGCTCAAGAAATTTGATATGGGTGAGGCCAAGCCTCTTTCGACGCCCATGTCAACCACAACGACCCTGGATGAGGACAAGGAGGGAGAAGCCGTGGACCAGAAGGAATACCGAAGCATGATCGGGTCCCTGCTGTACCTAACGGCAACGAGACCGGACATCCAGTTTGCAGTCTGCTTGTGCGCGCGCTTTCAGTCTTCGCCGCGCACGTCTCATCGTCAAGCTATCAAGCGGATCCTCAGGTACCTTCGTTTCACACCCGAGTTTGGTCTTTGGTTTTCAGCCTCCTCCTCTCTTTCTCTTTGTGGGTATTCTGATGCGGATTATGCTGGTTGTCATGTTGAGAGGAAGTCCACTTCGGGGACTTGTCAGTTTCTTGGATCTTCTCTTGTGTCTTGGTCTTCTCGCAAGCAGTCTAGCGTCGCCCAATCCACCACAGAAGCTGAGTATGTTGCTGCTGCTGCTTGTTGTTCCCAGTTGCTTTGGATGATAGCTACTCTGAGAGACTTTGGGTTAGAGTTTAGGCGAGTGCCTTTGTTTTGTGACAGCACCAGTGCCATAAGTGTAGCCAAAAACCCAGTCCTTCACTCAAAGACAAAGCACATAGAAGTTCGCTTTCACTTCTTGCGTGACCACTATGAGAAAGGTGATATCGATCTGCACCACATTGATACCTAAAACCAGCTCGCAGATATCTTCACCAAACCACTTGACCAAGCCCAGTTTGCTCGCTTGCGAGGGGAGCTTGGAGTTTGTTTCCCTTTTTAGAGGAGGGAAACTTTGGTTGTTGTATTCTAGTTTTGCTTTTCTTTGTAGTTTAGCCTTTGTTTTTGTTTTTATATCATACTTGCATATCATATCATCATGTATCATATTGCATCCTGAGCTTCATCCTTATAGTAGCTAGATTGACACTATGCTCTTGTTGGGGATGTTATGGATATACATGATGTGCTTTTGGCTTAGGCTCCTCTTGATCAATTGATGCATGTTATGAGCTAAGCTTGTTTTCCAAACTGTGAACTTGGTTAAAACTTATTGAAACATGAAATGTGTTCACCACTACTTGTGGCACTAGCATGTGTAGAATGTGTCGAGATCTTTTTCTTGCTTCATGTATATGCTTAGTTGCTACGGCTCATACTTTGAGTTACACACTTGCTTGAGAAACTTGAATTTGTGCTAAAACTTGAAAATCAAACTCAGTGATTTGAAAAGATCGGGATGGGTCTGTACTATCCTATGTCAGAGTATCGAGACAGCTCCAAATTGCACTTATTGGTGAACTTGAGCTCTGTAATGGATACCGAGATCATTGTCTTAAGTTTCTGATTGCCTTTGGCATAGGCTTGACATGGTCGCTAAGTCAGGTTTTGATGGCACAGATAACCTCCCGCACACACTTGTCTGACAAACTTTGGTAATAAGCTGCATAACTCCGATAAATTTCAATTGGTGTCTAAAATTTGATCAAACCACAAGTTTGTCTCATGACATGATGTGTGAACTTTGTTTGGGGTAGTTCACTTTGCATACATGTGTAGCACAAGGTCGATCTCCTGTCTACTTTTGCTATGTGCTCCTTTGGTGGTGAACCCTCTTTTAAAATTGCTCAAACTTGATCAAAATTGCTTAAATGCCATATTTCGTCTCATTTGGTCACTTTGAGCATTTGCTAGCACTTGTATGTGTTGCTATATATACATGACAGCATCAACTAGAGCCTCTTTTCAATCTACTTACTATAATCTTGAAGCTTCTGCATTCGTGCATTTCTGCATTCATAGCATGATTTGAGGGGGAGATGCAATCTTTGGGCTCTAACTTGATAAGTGCATGTGTCAACAAGGGGGAGAAGTTTTCCACACTCACAATGACACAAGGGGAGAAATATTCAGAAAAGGGGAAGAAACTTCCAATTTCACCTAAAGTTGAGAGATATGCATTCATTTGAGAGAGATTGCACTTGTTCAGGGGGAGTTGCATTTGAGGTGTTTTGCTAGATGTGTTGAGCCTTTGCCTCTTCTGGAGGGTCTAGCAGTTTTTCGGTTTTTCAAGCTTTGCTAGTGGTGTTGAGCCCATTGCCTCTTCTTGAGGGCTAGCTTTGTTTTACTTGGTTGCGTTGAGCCGTTGCCCATGTCTTTGGGGACCAAGTTTTGCTCATTTTCAAATGACCCGGTTCTTGGCTTTTCTTTGGCTTTTGGTCATTTGGGTGAGTTCTTTCTTTTCTCTTCTTCTTCTTTTGCTCAAGCTGTTCGTGTATTGGTGTTGACAATGCACTCATCAAGGGGGAGATTGCGAACACAAGGTTGACAAGTACCCTTGTGTGTTCATTTTGTGATGAGTGATTGTCAATGTGATCCACGAAGTAGGTTGAGTGGTGACTAACCCTACCATGGCGAAAGCTATGTGTGCGACATGTCTTTTGGCTTGTGTTGTGCAGGTGTGGAGCTCGGATGCGGTGGTCGACGGCGAGGTGAAGGTCAAGGAGGACGTGTCGTGCCGACAGACCGGGAGCGGTGAAGGACGGACGTGAGGCTTGGACCGAGGGACCCAGAGGCCGGGTGACTAGCCGTGGTGGCTGACACTTGGGACATCGACAAGTGCAAGAAGACATGGAGTGACGGTGTTGACCAGGGTCAAGACGGCGGACGCGCAAGTCGAGTGAGGCTCAGGAGGACTTGGCGGGCCGACCGGTCGAGGATGGCGGTGACACGTGTCGGATGGCGGAGAACGCGTATGGAGTACGCTACCCGCGGACGGTTTATGGGTTTGGGCCTCAAAACCCGGGCGGAGGTTCCGAGGAGGGACAGACGGCACGTGGCGGCATCGGGGAGTTCGCGTCGAGGCGAAGCTACCGATGAGAAGGCGCGGTGGCCGTCGGATCAAGATTACACTGGGTTGGACAACAACGCCCTTGGGCTTAGCGGTTCAACTCATTTGTATCCAGGGGCAAAATTGGAAATGTGTAATAGCCCTGTTAAATAGGATGAGGGAGCCCCCATCTCCCTCACCTCCTCCAGTTTTCATTTTCTCCTTTAGGGTTTCTTCCTCTAGTTTGCTTCCATGTATGAGAGAGGTCCACAACTCAAATTGTGACTTGGTTTTCAAGGAATCGGTGGCCGTAACCACCGTATGCCCTCCGGGATTCATGATTTAGTTGTGTTCTTGATGTGATTTTGGTGTTCTTCACGAGCTCCTTTTGTCCCTTCTTGTTTCCCCTCTCGTTTCTTCGTTTTGGGATGGTTTTGGTTCGTTCTTGTTGCCTTGGATCGATCAATGACATGAGTAGAAGCTTTCCACCGAAGAAAATCCACTAATTCCTCACGAGATCGCAGATCCGAGCAAGTTAAGTTCTTGACCTATTTTTTGGGGATTCTTCAATTCCTTCGATTCACGGAGTTAGAGTTTGTTTCGGGCCATGATCCTTTAGAGGTTGCCTTTCTACTCGCTTGTGAACCATTGTGCAAAGTTTCAAGTCATTTGGAGTTGATTTGATCAAGTTATGGCTTGATTTGATTTTTCCCGAGAAACTGCTCGTTCATACCGGACGCGTCCGATATGATCTAGGACGTGTCCGATATTTCTCACTTTGGAGTTTTGAGCTGAAATTTGGTGGAGACCTTCCCTTGGTGTCTAAAGAGCTATGGTTAAAATTTCATGATTTTTGGACACCATTTGACGGGGTTTTGGATTTTTCTCTTTTGGTCAGCTTGCTGCTGAAAATACCGGACGTGTCCGAGATCATACCGGACGTGTCCGAAAATACCGGACGTGTCCGATATTTGCAGAAGCAGTGCTGTTTTCTTTTGGGAGTTTGCTCGTTTGGGCTTCGATCTGTGTTCCGTTTGCTCTGTGGTGACCCGCTGTGTTCTGAGAGAGCATCCACCCTTCTCTAGGGTCGTGGTCATCAAGTCTTTCGTGTATGCTTTTTGGGGATTGATGTTGAGACAGTGGTTGAAGATTTTGAAAGAAATTTGAGGCTCCCGTTCACCCCCCCCCTTGTCGCCGTTTCCGGTCCTTCAAGTCTTCAAAGCAAGCAAAACCAGCCGACCTTTGGTGATTACTCAGTTTGCAGAAAGAGTTACCATCAATCAACTAACATGGTAGATAGATTCGAGTTTTGGTGAATTTCGTACATTTGAGTGAAGTGCCCGGCCGTTACATGTAGCATCCATTATAGCAAAATGCACCAACAAGGCAATGAAGTCAGTGCAGAGCTGATCTCTTGATTACTGGTCAGCACAAAGCCGAATATTTCTTCATGCATACATTGCTGCCACTAGACGCAGAGAGAGAGAGATTAATTATATCGATTGATAGCATGAGGAAGGAAGATTAATGAGCTGAACAAGAGAATAAACATGTGCGTGTGCTGCTACTATCTTATCTTAGCACTAATACTAACTGTTTTCTGCCACATGCCAGCTGGGGTATGGAAAAAAGGGTTATAACTTACAGCACTCATCCATAAATAAAAAAACGTGCTTACCAGCTGTCATTCTCCATCGCCATTGTGATCCTCGACTTGGTAGGCCACTTGATGTTGCCTGCAGGATGACCTGGGTGCATGTCAATGGCAATACTCTCTGCTGCAGCTCTTCCGTTGGTTTACCATCAAAACACAAACTGGTTATGCTCAGGAGTGCCAACCATTAGCACGACAATAGTCCCCTGCATTAGTAATTGCACGTGCATCTTTGACTTTTTAAACAAATTATATGCAGTCTCAGCTTTGTCCATCTCCAACAGCTTGTTGTTCAGCTTACTGTAAGCAACTCTCCCAAGACAGAATCCATTCTGATGTGATTCCACCACCACAAACACAGAAGATCCTGCATCAACTCAGCAAAGCACATTTTAAATTAACTCGCTCGTAAATCTCTTTATTTATTAGATTGACATCTGCACTCCTGCATCAACTCTTCCCAAATAAGTGTTCAAGTTCTGATAAATAAACACAACTAGCTGCCTTCCTACTCTTTCTGTTGGTTTACCATCCAAACACAAACTAGTTGTGCTCAAGAATGCCAACCATTAGCACGACAATAATTCCGTGCATTGGTAAGTGCACGTGCATCTTTGACTTTCTTGAACAAATTATATGCAGTCTCAACTTTGTCCATCTCCAACAGCTTACTGTTCAGTTTTCTGTAAGCGTCTCTCCCAGTACAGAATCCATTCCGAATTGATTCCTCCACCACAGACACAGCAGCATCAACCTTTTTTTTTTTGCGGGGTGGCAGCATCAACCTTACCCACGTTGCAAAGCTCATTTACAATAAACTCGTAAATCTCTTTACCAGATTGATACCCACACTCCTGCATCTCTTCCCAAATGTCCACAACAGTTCCACTCTTCCCAGATTTACCGAGCCTTTCGAGCAGAAGCTTATAAGCTTTCATGGATATTACACAACCAGCCTTCCTACTCTTTTTGTAGATCATCAAAGCAGTGTGGGGTGGTCCAAATGAACACAATGGCTCGATAAATGATGTTATTACCCCAGTATTTGGCAGAACACCTTGAGCCAACATGTCATGAAACATGTGGAGCGCATCAGCTACCCTGCGACCTTTCAGAAAGGCTTTAATCATCGTAGAGTACGTGTCGATGTTTGGGGGACAATTCTTTTCCAACATATCCTTGTAATACTTGATGCACCTGTCCAAATGCCCAGCAGAAATAAATTTGAAAATAAGTGCATTGTAGGCGATTGTAGTTGGACCATAAGTCTCATGTAGCATCATACCCTGAGTGCATCCTCAGTCCGCCCCTGCTCTACCAAATCCCTCAATTAAATGGCAATGTGAAACATCATCTGGAACGAGCCCATCCTCCTCCATATTTGCCAAACCTCCTGCAACTTATCAACACTCCCAACCCTTGCCCAGCCAACCATGACATCATTGTACACAAGGATATCAAGACCAAGCAGTTCCTTTTGAGCAGCATGCAAGAGTGAGCTGGCTAGACCTACATGTGACCTGCGGCAAAGGCACCTGATGAGGACGGTAAGTGCCTCCTTTCTGTGGAAAGCTTTCTCAATTCCAAATCCAAATTGGTCGGTACTGAGCACCTCAACAGCCTTACTGACATGCCTGGCTGCAACTAAGCTATGCACAATGATCTCCAGTGTGGTCAGGTCTGGGAAGATGTTGTTTCTGCGCATGATCTGAAGGGCATCATCGAGAAAATCAAAGAATTTTTTCCTCCCCAATGCTATGATGACAATGTTGCAGGTTTGGAAGGATGTAGGAGGATTGGAGTTAGTGACCACCCAGTCAAAGAAGGTGACAGTGGTGGCACCACAGAGGTCGCCAGCGTTGACAACACTGGCAAGCACCTCCGGTGAACCACGGTGGTACCAATGCCTGTGGAGGATAGCGCCCGGTGGACCGCGGTTCGGCCCGGGAGTTTGCAGAGGAAGACCCCATGGAGGCGATCTGCAGCAGATAAGAGCATGGCAGTAAGTGGTGGATGTGGGTCAGGAGGAGAGTCAATAGACTGAACCATAGTATGGAGTGGAGGTGGATTGGCAAGGGGAGTGGAGAGGAGGCGGAGGGAGGTGATGACCATGTCCTCATTGGAGGCAGAGGTGGAGTAGCTGCGCCTACTGTGGTCTGTGGAGGAATAGGATGGGCCAGGCCTCCATCATTTTGCCTCCTCAGTGACTCCTTCCTGCAGAACTATGGCTCAATCGGCATGTATTGTCTTTCGCAGAGACGATCCTGGTCAGAGCTAGGAAGGAAACCACCATGGGCGGCAGTACCCGTGGCTGCAAGCGGTGGAGGGCTTGGGAGAGACGAGGCTGAGATGGAAGGGCGAGAGAGGCAGAGTTTGAAATGTGTGTCATACACCAACACAGGTGGCAGTACCCATGCCCATCCTTGAGGCCATCCCACCTGTAATGCAGTAGCAGATATTTGGAATTAGTCAAACATAAAGGTTTAGAGCTTGCAGAAAGGTTCAGAGCGAACTGTGAGTCAAACAAGCACAAAACTTAACCATGATTAGCCCAGTTCCTTGAATAAAAATGTCAAAAGCACAAACTTGATGTTTGGTTCAACTTTCTCATGCTAACAGGTGGGATAGTGGCTGATGAGGAGAATTCATTTTGATCTAACCGACTGCAACTATGATTCTCAGTTTCCCACATGAACAACAGTAAGTAAGTTTCTGTTAGATGCAATATTAATGACCTTGCTTGCTGATAGAAATAGAATGCCCATAAGCTAAAAACTGAACTCTAATTTTAACAAAGCAGCATCTGATGAGAAATGGTTGGAGAACTTTGCTTTGGGAGCTTGATAACAGGTAAGTTATTTACAGAAAAATGTGGTTTTGTTATACCTAAGCTGAAAGTCGAAAGAGCAAGAAGCATTGAGCAGTTCAACATCAGTTTTAATTACAAACATCTCACGACTGCAAACTAAAAGGTGCACTTGCTTGAAGACGGTTAGATCAAATCTCCAGAAATCACACCACCCAATTCCCCTGCTCCCCATGCCCTCACTATGGACAAAAATTAGAGGTGCTACATAGCAGTTAGCTCATATGTTTCTCATTCGTTCCAGAAAAAAAAAATATGTTACTTTTGTATTGAAAACAAAATCAAATATTTGCCAGTAATCAAATATATATGTTACTTTTGTATTGAAAATAAAAAATTAGAGGTGCACTCTTTTTAACTAGATAGATGCTTTCATCCTACCAAGTACCAACTCATGAGGAAAGACTAAAAGAATGTCCTTTTAAGTAAGGAATCATAGAAACTACACTATAAACTCAGTAAAAAGAAGCTAACATGGAAATTTTCTATAAAGAAACTGAGCTAGTAAGGCACGAATCGTGAGTCTGGCCTTTGGATCTTTGCCAGGTAGCCACAAGTAGAGTTTCACAAACTAATAAACAATGAAAAAAGTGAGTCTAACAGTATGATAATATTGTCTCACAGAAACACATGATGCAATTTTGTGAAGTGAGCTCCTTCCATTCTGGCATATGTTCTAGTCTGACAGTACTGAAAGAACGAGTAGGAGTTTCAGGTTCAGCCACATCAAGTCCAGAGTACAGAGACTAAAATTTTTCAGATCTTCACCACTTATTTGATCATAGTAGATATCAGATGAACTGAAAGAGATATACAAGCATAAGCTGAAACACTGCCTAGAATCTTCCCTTCAGCTATTGCAAGACTGAACACCAATCAAATTGGCAGATTCCTGACTGCAGGAAGACAAGCAAAACACCAACTACAGAATTCTCAAACGGACCATACTAACAGTAGATGAATGAATAGGACACATGTTTTTACAAGACCTAGACCCTACTGTAGTGTTATATCAGTAGCCGCAATACTCATTAGAGATTGACAAGCCAAACCATGTAACCTTAATCACAACAATTTATGCAGAGTTCATTTATGCAGCTAATAAAAGAACATACTAGTGTAATGCACCAGTTCATTCAGTAAAGGGATTCCAGCTCTCAGTTCAGCAGAAGTGTAAATGTGAGGGAGACGAGGTGGGGAGGCAACAAGGGACTAGCACCGCACCTGCAAGAAATCAGTCCCAAGATGGATGGGGGAGACATCAACAGATGGAAGAAGAGGGAAATCGAGGAAGGAAGGTGGGTTTACCGAGTGGGAACGGGCGGGGACACCAGAGGTGTTGCCGGAGCGGATGGCCAGGGACACCAGAATGGGGACCCTCGTAAGTCGTGACAGCTAGCCTTATGCTCTTGCTGTTCCTCCCCTTCGTTTTCTTCACTGCAGGTGTAGGGGACGGCTCCACCACGGAGGTCTCGTCTCGCTGCTCCGCTCCTCAGCGGCAGAGGGGCTGGCTCCGGCTCCTCATCCTCAGAGAGAGGATACCGGCAGCGGAGGGGATGCCTCGCTTTGAGTGAGGTAGTCCAAATGTGCACAAGGGATTGATAAATGATGTTATCCCCCCCAGTATTAGGCAGAACTCCTCGAGCCAACATGTCATCAAACATGTGGAGCACATCAGCTACCCTTCGACCTTTCAGAAAGGCTTTAATCATCTTGGAGTATGTGTCGATATTTGGGGTGCAATTCTTTTCCAACATGTCCCTGTAATACTTGATAACCTGTCCAAATCCCCAACCGAAAGAAAATTTAAAATAAGTGCATCGTAGGCCATTGTAGTTGGACCATGTCTCTCATGTACCATATCCTCAGACACCCTGAGTGCATCCTCAATCCGCCCTGCTCTACCCAGTCCCTCAATTAGATGGCAGTGCGAAACCTCATCTGGAACCAGCCCATCCTCTTCCATCTTTGTCCAAACCTCCTGCAATTTATCACCACTCCCAAACCTCGCCCAGCCACCCATGGCATCATTGTACACATGTTTATCAAGACCAAGCAGCTCCTTTTGAGCAGCATGCAAGAGCGAGCTAGCTATACCTACACGTGACCTCCAGAAAAGGCACCTGATGAGGACGTACAGTAAGTGCCTCCTTTCTGTGGAAAGCTTTCCCAATTCCAAATCCAAATTGGTCGGTACTGAGCACCTCAACAGCCTTACTGACATGCCTGGCTGCAACTAGGCAGAGTTTGAACTGTGTGCCATACACCACTGTAGGTGGCAGTACCCATGCCCATCCTTGAGGCCATCCCACCTGTTATGCAGTAGCAGATATTTGGAATTAGTCAAACATAAAGGTTTAGAGCTTGCAGGAAAGGTTCAGAGCCCATGAACTGTGAATCAAACAAGCACAAAACTGGGTTGTCACGTTTAAGCTTTTCGCCGGTTTTCTTTTTATAAACTGTGCGATGTGAGATTTTTAGGCCTGGTTTCCCTTATAAACTGGGTCAATTCTATTTCTTCTTAATTGAAAGGCACAGCTCCTACGATTGTGCTAAAAAAAACAAGCCCAAAACTTAACCATGCTAACTTGATGTTCGGTTCAGCTTTCTCATGCTAACAGGTGGGATATTGGCTGATGAGGAGAATTCATTATGATCTAACCAACGGCAAATCTCCAGAAATCACACCACCCAATTCCCCTGCTCCCCACACCCTCACTATGGACAAAAATTAGAGATGCTACATAGCAGTTAGCAAATATGTTTCTCATTCGTTCCAGAAAACAAAAATATGTTACTTTTGTATTGAAACAAAATCGAATATTTTGAAAGTTCTAACTAGTAGATAGATGCTTTCATACTACCAAGTACCAACTCATGAGGAAAAAATGTCCTTTTAAGTAAGGAATCATAGAAACTGCACTATAAACTCAGTTAAAAAAAAAAGCTAACATGGAAAAATTCTATAAAGAAACTGAGCTAGTTAAGCACGAATCGTGAGTCTGGCCTTTGGATCTTTGCCAGGTAGTCACAAGTAGAGTTTCACAAATCAATAAACAATGAAAAAAGTGAGTCTCACAGAAACACATGATGCAATTTTGTGAAGTGAGCTCCTTCCATTCTAGCATCTGTTCTAGTCTGACAGTGCTCAAAGAACGAGTAGGAATTTCAGGTTTAACCACATAAGTCCAGAGTACAGATTAAATTTTTTCAATTTTTCACGACTTATTTGATCATTGTAGATATCAGATGAACTGAAAGAGACATACAAGCACAAGCTGAAACACTGCCTAGAATCTTCCCTTGAACTATTGCAAGACTGAACACCAAT